CGCTCGTGAAGCATCTCATGTTTTCCTTACTGTTTTATTGTTGTACTATACGGAAAAATAGAATAATATTGATATAGGAATGGACAATTTATACAAACATAAAGTAGTATGTTTGCTTAGTTTAACGAACTAAGCTTTACATAAGTATGAGCATAAAGTATGAACTGTCATTTGTGATATATACGACTGTTAATGTATAAGATACATTTTAAAGGTTACCTTTAAAAAACAAACCGTTTAAAACAGTAAACATACAAGTTGTATTATATTTAATTTTCGTTAACGTTACATTTTATTTAGCAGCAGCTGTCCCCATCTGGTGGTGCCCCTCAATCACTGTTGATGCGTTGCGTTTTAAACTGTTCAAAGTGTTTTATTTAAAAGTGTACTCGCGTAAACTACGGACAGAACCACATTATAGCCTGACTAACGGCCTTCTAGGAATATTTATATTCTCACATTAACGTGAATATTAATACCTTTCGCCAGTCCCGGAAAGATTTCTTTATACCCTTAATTTAAAAGCTATATGGTACCTGCTAATTATATTTGAAGGCGTGACATTTTGACGTCTTTTATAATGACGCGGGCCAGTTTGAAGACGGTCGGCCGTTGGTACAGAAATTGAATTAGACCAATTTGTTTTCATTAAAAATCGAATTCTAATGTATATAACAGCAAAATATATGGATATAAAAATGTTAGTCTAATAATTGCATTTATCTCACATATAACAAATGATAATATAATATAATCTTATTGCTTATAATTTACGCGAATAGAACACACATAAAACAATTATAATGGATCAATAAGCAAAGTGTATGTTGCAACTGTTAAAAGTTTTTAATTTAATATTATAGTCTCTTATGGAATCGGTAAAGTATATTTCTTTCGTAGTTTTTAAAAACATCACCCTAAATTGGACAAAGTATAATGTTATCGCCGCTCTAAACTTCGGTGTACTAGTCGATTGACTGATAAATACACATTCTGATGATAGCGTAATACATCTTGGTATAATAATCTACGGCTCCGAGCGTCGTAATCAAATCCGGCCGGGTCGAGCGCCCTAATCGAGGGAAACCACGCTCGACCTATGTCAAATCGACCAAGTGAACATGACCTGACTGTCACCAAGAAAAGATAAAACATTTAGCAGTTACTTCGCCGATGAGAACAGTTCTTTCAACGGTTAATAGATAATGTCAGTCTAGCAGAGCACAGAATTCAAGACACAGATATCGGTCAGGGAAAACGTTATTTCAAATAAAATATATAGAATATTGAGAATCAATAAAATTACGAGGATTTTTTTTTTCATCTACTAAACAGATTATTATAAAATGTTTCCCGAGATTAAATTCTAGACGTCCCGCGCATAACGAAAAACATGTTAACTCAAGAACGAGTCAACGGTGGTAATTACAAAAATATTTAATGTTTTGCTACGTATTAGGACTATTTCTGTTTATATAGACACTACGCAAACAACAGACGCGTGTAGTATAGAGCTTAACTTGAGAGGTCCTGGATTTGAATCCCGGGAAAGAAATACATTTACACACTGAAGTCTGAGCAATTACTTGCTTATAAATACCACGGACAGATTACACGAACAGAGAAATGTGTTCGGCCCGTGACCCACGTTCAAAAGGGATTCCCCTACCAATTTTTTATTACATCGCAAATTGGTCCCACTATAAACTCTTTCGAGATTAATATCGCACCCGCACTGCGAGAAACTTTCAAAGCTGCCACGTGAACAAACTTAACAATGAACTCGAATATAATCTACACACACCTTATTTCGTGTTAAAGAAGGCTTCGAAGTTGGCAGACAAACTAAAGTACTTCGAAATTAGAGGGACAAAAAACTTTCACAAATAGCTTTTCCAATCTTGTTTCAGATACTTTTTAGCAAAGTATACTAGATATTATTTATTTGAAGCCGATGTTACATATTATACATACATATTTATATTAAAAAGTAAAATTTAAGGATAATTCAAAATAAACTAACATCACAATATGATATTGTGCGTAAGAAACTATCAAAACAAGGAATTTCTACCTGTGTCGTTTTTCTACTTTTATTTACTCTGGTATCAACACTATTATAGCTGGTATTTCTTTTAAATAAAACACTTTAACGGTTTAATACGCGATATTTATTAGTTAAACTTATTTGATTTTATGTTATTTATTTTGATTGATAGGTATTTATTTTTAAATGAGTTGTATAATTGTATGTGCAATTTTTTTATAATAGCATTAAAATAAAAATAACATTGTTTTGGAAGTAGGCTTGTTACTAAATGGTCCTGAACATAATTCTGTCCCAGAAACGCTCGAAACTCAGACAGCAGTGGAAACATATTTTGCCGCATAAATCATAACTTTATTTCCTCTCGCTCAGTGGATGCGCGAGGTGTCTTTGAAACGGCATTAAGAGCTCTCCACTACACCACAACAAAGGAGTACAAATTAAATTAGGTGCAGATGGAACAGCGAGACGTAGCGATTATATTTCAGCATTATTAAAACATCCGATTTAATAAACTAGACTTAAAGTTTAATAAGTAACCTACCCTCATTGTGTTTTATGCGTACCTTTAATGGGCCTTAATGAACACAAAAGGGCGGTAACGCACCTAACGCCCGCTCTTTTAAGTCGTTTTAACAGTCCTTCCTGCCAATTAGCGCGGTGCACACTAAACAAAGGAGTGGAAGTCACAAATTTATTGTTCAGGCAACCTTGGTTAAACAAATTTTCGTGAAACCGAATCGCATGCTTTAAACTTTTTTCACGTACATAGTAATCTGATGTAGATCTGTTCACACTTGTCAATCATGCATGATCATGTGAGGACTGTATTTGTTTAACCTCCTACCTTACTCGGGTCACCATCAGTCCGGGTCTTCAAGCTTCCATCCATATTGAGGTGGTCCAAGCCGAAGCCAATGCCTCTCTCGGGACACCCTTAGTCTGTATTATTACATATAAGCATTGAAGTTAGCTGATAGTATTAAAATTCTCATGAAAACATACGCGTTAATCCTTAAATTATTTAATGTTATAAGGATATAACGATTAACTTTGTTTTTTGTTTAGTTTGAATACCCGAGTTAATAATAAGAAACGTTTTTTCTAAATAAAGTTCTAATTACTACGATACTCGTTCAAAAAGACGGAATTATGTGTAAGGTAAGGAACCACGCCAGACATTAAACATAACTATCGTGCAAAATTTCGCCTCGTACCTAGTCCATCGTAAGGTTCATGAAAGCGTGCTTTAAGCCAAAATTAAACGACAAAGTTTCGAGTTATTCTGAGCTTGTTTATAATATAATTAAATACTTCTGTCGGTTTCTCCGGAGAGATTCAATTATAAATCTCGGGATTATTTTCTCCCTTCAAGATGGATGACTATTCCTTGAAATAGTGTAACTTTGTACACTGGCAAATTAAATATACGATTGCGCGAAGCTTAGAACAATAAATGAAAAGTTGTCATGGATAATATAATGTTATATTGTTACGTTCGTAACTGTTCTTTGCATTACATGTTTTGATACATACATATTTACAATTATTAACTATTAGTTAAAATAAAATAAAAGCTGTTGGGCTTCCATATAACGTAAAGACAACAACTTTAATACTTGTTATACAAGCAATAGCTATGAAATTATAGAAGTAACATTTATTTTAAATTATACATAATTACAGATTACATTTGTCTCAGGGTTACTTAACAGATTTCGCTTCAAACGTTCATATTATATATAATTACGTCTATAAAATTGAACACAATCTACACATCTATTTCCTATCACAACGCTGTAGAATATCTATTAGTCCTTATAATTGAAGAAAATGCGATAATTTAGCCAATATTTACTTAATTGCGTCTTCAAAAGGCACTAGTTATTTTAATATGTACCTATTATAACATTCTCGTTGTATTTCGATAAATTTTGAACAGAGATACTAATCCAAGCCTTATTTATCAATATCGAGTTATATAGACTTTCTTACATTGCGCGAGAGGTGCATGTATCGATCAATAAATTGAAAAGTTTCGACGATAAGGGTGCTCGGTAGCTCAATTGGTAGAGCAACAGCACGGAACGCTGACGATGCCGGTTCAAGTCCTGCCCGAGTAGACTTTTTTTCAATTTATTTCCGATTTTTAAATTAGACTTTCTTGTTTTATATATGCGTTATATGAATTCGCTAGTTTGAATAAGCCAGTACGTAAATAAGTTAGAAGTTGTTTTCTGTAAGCTGTGTCTTCTATTAAGGTTCTCTATAGTCAGCAACATAAATACAAATTTTAAATAATTGTAAACAGTGTAAACGTCTTTTGGTTTTAATAGGAAGCAACACATTACGCAAAATATATAAAACATCTATAGGAGACCAGAGTCTTACAGAAACATGGCAAAAGATAAAAACCCAGCAACATTCAAAGAGAGTACAGATCCTTTACTTTCACTCCTTCGCCATCCATAAATACCTCCTTGATTAGTTCGGAGAAATAAAGCAAAATTAAGTTTTGTAGGCCATGTGTACAACAATATTCGCTCCTAACATTATTATGAACATAACATTCAACTATACCATGTTATTATTTTACTATAAGCGCGATATGAAGTGTGAAAACAGACATACAGAAATTCTCTGCATATTATGCCCTGGCATATAAATGGTTTAAGTAATGGTAAATACAGGTTTTAATAAATGTTTATAAAACATAGAACAACTCAGTAAGGAAAGTTCAAAAAACTTTCAATAAAGCCAGAATTCTATACACAAAATAATTTTACACCTAAAGCTGTACGTACGGGTTTAACTACCGATTGAATATACACTGTAAATCCTTTTAATAAACAACAACTAACAATCTGATATAAAAAGATAATTTCAATTGCCTTCTCACAATAAAATGGGAATATTTAAATTATCTTCTCATATCAATTATAATATTACAATATCATCGACATATAAGACTTTCCTCGCGCGCCGCGCACACGCCGTGCGGTGGGGCGAGAAATAGTTTACCATTTGCGCACGCGCATAGCTGGTATATATTTTGATGGTGAGGATCGTGCGTGTGAGATGCTGATGCTGGTAACGGTAGCGCAGATTTTAATTTTGGCATGTAGATACTTGGGGCGTCTAGTCTTATCTGGAAAAATATATGTCATCATACTTCTTCAAAGAGGTTCTACGCGATTACTTAAAAAAAAAAAAATTGTTAAAGTTATATAACCGACCTTATTATTACTTAACCTTCTGTAGCCAAATGGTTAGACGTGTTGCCTAGCATTGCGTTACGCGCGAGAGGTTCTGGGTTCGAATCCCAAAGAAACAGAAAATGTTACGGTCGGGCAGGGCACAGAAGTCTGATCAACTACTTGCCTGTTAAAGAACGGATCAGTGAAACGGACACAGAAATGTGTTCACCCCATGCCCCACAAGGGGGAAACGGGATTTAACACAAAAAGTTATATAAACTTATGGAAAAAGACGAAGATTATTATTAAAAATTATATTATAACAAAAGGTTGTATGGTAGTCTGTTTGTAATCATCAATTCTAAGATATCTTATGTATTATTTTCCTGATTACATTGAATATTAGTATTATATAAATAGAAAAGTAAATTATAAAATATATTATAGTTTTATAATTATATTTTATAAAATAGTTATAAAGAAGTAACCTATAATATAACTCCAGTTTGGTTTTATCTGATATAGATCTCAAATACGAACGTAAATCATTTTTATTGCTACCGAAAAGAAACAACTGTTACAATAATGTAAGTTTGATAGTGTACGGGACGCAGGCGGGTCATCCCCAAGTCAGCAATAATAGTGACATTTATATCGAGGACAGCGATTTTGTAGATCTGACGACATATAAGGTCATTTCAAAGAATATTGCTACGGCGTAGCACTGTTGATATAATATTAAGCAATTTTACTATAACCACTATTTTGCAGAAATCGTTCCATTATTTCTAAGATATAACTAAATCTAGCTATATTTAGGCAGAGATTAAAAGGGACCGGATAAACAAGGTTGAGAGACAGTACTACTGGTTATAAATATGAACTGTGGTGAAGATGTTTTTTTTTTATATATTGTGCCCTATATTAAGTTTAATTCTTTCATAATAACTTATAATTAGATTAAAAATTAGAACTTTATACTCACCGAACCAGCAATGGAGCGCAATTTAAAAGTAGTCAGACAACTAGCGCTGATATCACCTGCGCGGGACTCCAGCGCAATCGTCTGCGACGCGTGCATCTCTAGGGAACGCGTCGGTGATTCTAACCTTAAATAATTATTTAATATGACCTCTAGACACTCTTACGCACCACTGTTTAAGAAATGATATATAATATTAGCTTTCCTTTCATGATAAAATTAATGTTATTTTTTATGAGCAGAGATGCACTTAATGGAACGTGAAATATCCAAGATGTGCTGTCGAAATCAAAGTTAAAGTCAACGAAATATACTGCTATATATACTGTCTGTAGTTTACGCGAGTAGTACACATTTAAATAAAACACTTTGATGGTTTAAAACGCGATGTATTAATATTTTTTATTTTTAAATAAGTTTAACTAATATATATCGCGTTTTAAACCGTTAAAGTGTTTTATTAATATGACGATATTTGTTAGCAAAAGCCGATAACATAAAATTCTCGAATCAAAATTTAAATAAACGTCTGAAAGACATGACAAGATAAATAACCAAGAATCAAATACATTCATACAAAGTCTCAAGTATTATGATATAACAATTCCGTTGAACAGTTTCCCGGTTAAACTTTAATCTACAACTATGAACATAACTAAAAGTTCAGTGAAACTTACATCAGTTGTTTAGAGGGCGGTGCTTTAACGAGCGGAGTTTGTACCGCCGTGTTGAAAGATGCCCCGGCCGGGCTGGATACGAGCAAATTGTCCGCGCCGACCGTGACCGAGTCTTGGGCGGCTCCGAGGAGTAAACCACCGCGAGAGTCTCGAATCTCGAGGCGGGCCACATTCACTTCGAAGCGATCGTGACCTGAGATAAATCATCAAGGTATGTGTATCACTGGTTAATATAAATTACTATCTAGAAGAAGAATGAGAGAAAAATTTAAAATGTTCTATAGCTATAATTAAGCAATAAACAAGTAAACTGACGTGTAATAGTGACTACGAATACTGTCTGTGTTACTTTACGCTAATAGTACAATTTTTACATTACAACATTTATAATAGTAACTACAAGTTATAATTAAATTTAACAGCTTCACTTACCTAAATAGAGTCTACTCTGCACTATACCAAGTGCATCTCGAGTGGATACTGTAAAATTCCTGGATGATTCGAAGCTAATCGGATATCCTCGCCGCGATTTTATGCTTGATGCGAATAAAGAATCCAGCACAAGAGCTTGACCGAGCAGCTGGAGTCCACCTGGTACTATTCGAAGCTGGCCCATTCCTTCCTATGCAAACAAAATGTGTGAGTAAGTATGAAAGTAATTTAGAAATAATTGTGTAATTTTTCATAATTTGTAATCAGATCTAGAAAATATAGTGAGTCCCGTTTCTGGTGAGGCTGAGGGTGAACATATTTCTGTGTCAATTTCACTAATCGTTTTTTATACAGGCACTTGTCTATATAAAGTTCATCAGACTTCTATGCTTTCAACTTATAACAATTCCTATCGCCATTCTCAATTTGTTTTACATTAACAGTCCTTTCTCGTCTGGAGACGAACTGTTTGTGGAAATACTGGAGGTATTTTTCTCTGAATAAATTACTTTGAAATATATCCTGTATAATGGATCGATGAATCTGATTTTAAAACTCTTAATATTTTACTCTTAAAAAAATACGACAAGGGCGGGACTTGAACTGGCGTTGTTGGTGGATAATACAAGTAATTGAACTACCGTCAGATACAGAACGCTATGGCACTTCGGGTGAAGCACGTATCGTAAAGTTGTTTCAATCTAATAGTAGTAGTTTTAATTATAATTTTGAAATAATAATATGCAGAGATTCTCACCGAATTAAAATCTAAAACCTTCAAAACCCACAGCGTCAAAGCGAGATTTACAATCATCATAAACATGAGGGCCATGACAAGAATGTAAAGGCATTTCTTCCGCCAACCGTAAATGCCAACTTTGAATTGGCTATTATAACTGTTCCTGATCGAGTCCGCTTTTGTGTCCCGGGCCGCATTGTTGTTCAGGATTGGCTCCGGAGTGATCTTGTCGGCATACGGAATCCTGCAAGGAAAATATTGCCTCTAAGCGATATGACGTTTCATTACCTCCGGCTACAGACCGGAAATTCGCTCTTTAAACTAAATTATTACTACGATATCTATAAGAACGTTTTTCCATTTATTCTATGCATATAAACTATGTATATATTTTAAATAAAACACTTTGAACTGTTTAAAATGCGAAATGTATTAATTGCCCTTACTTTTCGGATGCTTTGCAGAACGTTTTAAACCGTTAAAGGTGGTTTATTTAAGAGTGCATTATTCGCATAAACTAAAGACGGTATCTACACATTTTTATCACGTGTTAGTGGACATGATAACTTACATAAATTTAACAACACCTCGCAAAAGATTAAGTAAGGTAAAGTTAAGTGAAATAAAATATTGTCGTGGGGAATACAACAACTCGATTAGTAGATAAATACTGCACTAAACGTTTTGATCATGAGTCCGAGTCCTACTCACAGCTATTTTTCAATCACACAATAAAAAAAATTAAGAATTTTTTTGAAACATAAGGACATAAAGACTGGTTTTCTGATTATTTGTCTGTAAACACTGTCTTACTTAACAACGTTTTTACATAAAAGCATATAAAAACAAATAAATGTATATATAAAGTATTTAATTTCAAATAAGTTGTACCATTTTTGAAGTACGGTTAATATAATGGATACAATATTTTGGACGATACAACGCTTGCTACGAGCGCTCTTTGAAACACATCTCCCTTGCATAAATCATAACTTTATTTCCTTTAGCTCAACAGATCGTAGCGAATCCCGCTTCGGTATACAAATGTCTCTACTCTATGAAAAAGAAGTATTAAATTATTTTCTCAAACAATAGTAACACATGCTTACAATATTTTGTCCTTGGAAGAAAAATGTGGTTTACTCGGGAACCGAAAATACTGTACTGTAGACAAATCAATGTGAAGATTTTATGTTTTATTATAATTTATAAAAGTATGGGTATAGCTTTTGTATTAATAGTCTACGCGATCTCGTAAGAAAAGTAGAGAAGGTACGTCAAATATATTATATTATTATTTTTAATGTGGCAAAAAAAATGAGTTTTACGGGTGAGGACGGATAATTTAAACAGACAGATGTCGTGGGTTTGAATCCCAGAGAATTTCTAGCTCAAAGTAATAAACTAAAGCAAAACGGACAATTATGATTAAAATACATTTTTACAGTCGAAGACGGAATTATGTAAAATATTAAAGAATTACTCATTAAAAATTGCACAATTTACATAGTAAAACACTGTAATCCAGATCCATTGCGTTAAACACGAATAAAAATTGTAGTTTTATTTTAAGCCGTAAGCGGCATCAGTTGGGCTGTGTGCCTAATATACAGAAGTCACGCGACGTGGTTAGATTTCAACAAAAAATCGTTCCCTCGTGTGCTATTTATTTTCACCAGAATTAGCAAAAAGGAGTACCATTTAATGCGAATACACGTCACAAATAATTATATAGTATGCTTATTGAGTATTACATAGTATTATTAGACGAGAGTGAGTGAGTGAGGTACACTATTTGGAATTGCCCAGACAAAATAACAAGACACGCACAAGTGTACCGTCTTTGAACGGTGCTTCGTGGCCCAAATGGAACTAAATATTCCGTCTGATATATGAAGCGTTTTTTTTTGAGCGAATTTAAATTCCTATGATTTACAAATTCGTCGGGAATTGAATACGAGACAAAAGGTTATTGCTACCACTGAAAGAACGAACCTGACAAAATATCAAATTACCGTTTTTTTGCAGTAAGGTATATATTGGTAAAATAAGGTATTAAAACTTCGAAAACGAATAAAATGCACTTTCATATTCATGGATTGACTTTATAGTCTTGTTAATTCGGAATTTTAACGACGCCTTTTATAAAATATTCGGAAGCGGCCGACTGAACACATTTATTGCTTTTCGGTTTATGTGGTAACCTAGTTTATTGAAACAGCCATATTTTTGTGAGATGAACCGAATTATACCATATTTTACGAGTATTTACCGCTTCCATAGTTTACCTGGGAAAACGAGGAGGAGTGTTTCAGACAGCCACAAGAGACTGTAATGTCTACCTAATGCCCCAAATAGAATAAAATCTAATTTTACTTAGAAATGGCCGAATCATGATAGCATAGGGTTCATATTGATATATTGGATAAGAACATTGATTAAGATTGCATAGATGTACTTTAAATTAAACATATAAAACACCTCTTTAACTTATGAATATTGTTAAAAGACACTTAAAATTAAAAATCGTCAAAGTCTGGTTCTAGTACTGTACGAAGACATACACTATCTTATATTTAAAAAGACATTCGTAGTAAATTGGGCAATGTCAGCAGCCATAAATTTACAAGGATTTGGGAGCGACAGGAGTATTGTACAGTGAAAAATTCTAGCACGCGGCTTTACCGCAACATGCAGGGATATTGTCCACTTTGCTTACATTTTATCCGGGCAGGAATTTTTACACATGCAAACGAATACATGATTTTTTAAAGATAATCAAATCTGAGACAGATTTGCGATTGATTTTATTTATACAGAAAATAAATTGTCTATGGACTATATAATATGTAAAGAAGTTAACTCAGAAACTTTTGGCTACTGTAAAGCATCCAAAATGCCGGGTAGAAATCTAGTGTTTCACAAAATATAATTTGAGTTATAACCCGTTAAAATCATTCCATTTATTGAAACTTGGTAAACTTTGAATCGAAATATACCTGTCACATGTATTTTTTTTCAGATTTTTTAATACTTCTTACCTTATACGATAACTAAATATGTATTTAATACGAAAAATAATCACGTATTAATATGAAATTGTGTTTCAATTTAATTTAAGTTCGAATGCCTTACGGTCGTTTGTCAAAGTACATTATAAAGTTGTGTTCAATAAACAAGTTCGTTAAAAATGAGGAAGTTTGTAGAGACAACACTTGAGCCGGGGTGCTTTGTTTATCTCCCGGTCCAGCCCTGCAACACGTTTGGGGGGTTTACGTGGCATTAGAAACCAATTACAACAATATCACCGCTCTTCGCTCACACGTCTTCTTCTTTTCTATTTTTCACATTTCTCGTAAAATAATTGAATACGAAAACCAATCAGCTTCTATTGCTGTAAAAATAATGCGCTACTTTACCACAAAGTATGATAAAAATAGTAAACATAACGCTAGTGAAATATATATATATATATATTTATTTATAAAATTTTATTTTATTTTAAAGACATTTAAAGGTACATCTCCTTTTAAAACTCCTTTCAACTGTATATTACATTTATCCCAATTTTTGCTTTTTGTTGTCTTCTATCTGTGCACCATATTTTCATCTTGATGTTTCGGCTTTAATATTATGTATATAGATAAACTGAAATAAAATTTCTCGAACATATTTTTTGTTTTGTCTGTTAAGGGGAAAAACCTTTTGTTATTATTATATATCATTTTTTTTTGTTTATGTCTGAATAATCATTCCGAAAAACATTACGAAAACTATACGTGCCGTATATATTTGAGATAAAAGGTATAAATGGGGTTGAGTCAAATAAATTTTCCGCGCGGAAGCGTAAACGATGCACGTATTCGAGTCGTAGCTTCGTCTCGTAGCCGATAGCCCGTAGCCGGCCCGTAGCGCCGTAGCGCCGTAGCAGGGGAGCGCGTGCCGCAAATGAGGCATATTAATCATCTCCATCACGGCAAGTCGACTTCTGAGCTTCCTCCGCTTCTAGATATGCCTTAATAGGACAAGCGATTCCTTTTACCGAAATACCATTTTGTCAGATTTATTTTTCTTTCCAGACAATAAAGAAAATGTTTTCGACGATACTTATGCTTTCAATTGTTTTTATAATGAATAGCAGTACCATACAAGCCTAGTAAAAGTTGTAGTTAAAATCATATTTCGAATAAAATGTTTGATATTAATATCTGTAGTTTATGCGAGTACGACATATTTAAATAAAACACTTTTACGGTTTAAAACGCGAAATATATTATTTAAACTTATTTGACATTCTTGACAATTATCGCATGACCACGGCTGCTGCAAAGCAACCGAAATGTTGAGCTGTAGTTGAAATATTTTTCTAATACGTTTAACAAATATATTTCGCATTTTAAACTCTTAGTGTTTAAAATATTTGATATTTTTATTAAAAATATTGTTTGAGCAGACGATAAAATTATTTACAGAGTGGCAGTTTAATCTTATATTAATCTGCTAATTAAGAATATAAAACTACGAACAATGCATAAAAGTATCATTAAAAAAGTATAATCAATTCGCGTATTAAGCTCGGCAACGTTTAGTACTTGCACACCGTGAAATTGCAGCGCGTTTTATATGAAAATTGAAGTATAGGTGAGGCCGTTTGCTAATTGACCGTTCCACCACACGCCGAATGCGCTGTCGCATCACAACGTACTAAGCTATTATAACGTAACATTTGTAAGAAAATATTAATACCTTAAGATGTAAATTGTGTAAGGCTTTCACGGATTTCAGCATATAATTGTTTTTCGGGCTGTTCGGCCGACGTGACGGAAGGTTCTCGACATTTTGCCATCACGAGCGGGCGGTATCATTAAGAAACTGTAGCTCCTCGATTGCTCAAAGAATTAATTCTGTACTCCTCACGTCGTCCTGAACAGCCCGAAAAATACAATGATCTACCGTAACATATATTTAAATGTCAAAAAGAACGAATGTATCTCCATTAAAGTCGGTCGATATTAAGCAAAGGAGTTGTTGTAGTTGACTGATTGAAACAATATATTAGTGATACCTTTCGTGATTACGATGATTTTAAACGTACATTTGCGAGATATTAGGCTTTTATTTCCTACCCAAAATTTTAAAAATTCTAAATTTAGGATCAATTTACGTTAGAGACTATGAAAATAGAATTTTGAGAATATATTATCGAAACAACACTTATACATATTGGTTTGTATGTGACAGTATCTATACTAATATTATAAAGCTAAAGATTTGCTTTGTTTAAACGCGCTAATCTTAGGAACTACTAAACGGTAAACAAAGTGAAATGTGTAAAATTATTCATCTTAGGGGCTTCCGATACGTGCGCTGCGAATACGGTTCAAGATACCAAAAAATATGAATTAATAAATGATTCCCTATAAAAGATCTAAAAAAATATCAGTAATAGTATATGTCTATCTTTTAAGATTAATTCGCAAGAACTGCGGGACGCAGACCACGTCGTGGGTTACCGCTATAATATAAGCTAAGGAAATAGTTTGCAAAAAAAAATAATATGATGTAACAATTATTCCATGCGGACAAAGTCGCGGGTACAGCGAGTCATTAATAAAATTGAAATTGAAACATATCCCTAAATTTAGAGTGGCTCGGTATACTGACCGCTTACTCTGCCACTGAGCCATTTCAAAATTACCATTTCGCACACACACACTTTTCGGCTGTACTGTTGTACATTTAATTTCTGGTAAAATTGAATTTATCTATTCACTCGTAGTTTTTAAATGTACATATAACTACTGTCTTTTAACTAAGAATCTTGGAAACTACCCAATTAGTTGCATTACAAACTTCATTTCCGTACTTGTACTGTCGACGCCGATACGTCATATGTAACCGATGTACATTCGTTAGCAATATTCCGCTAACGAACCAAACTGATAGCCATTAAGTTGAACAACTTGTGGCACTTAGCTCTTTACACCCTGTATAGACATAATGACTGCTGATTTGAGACGGCTTATGAACCCTTTAAACCTGTTCGAACAACAAATTGATACTTCAGACTTGTTTATTATTTGATTTTTATCAATATAATTGGAAAAAGTGGCCTGTTTGTACGCAACGGATTGCTTCGCTAATAACTAGAATATAACAGAATATATAAAATACTTACACAAACGTTAAACAAAATGTTTTATTTATAAGTTTTAATTAAATAAAACATTTTGATGGTTTTAAAATGAAAGTATTAGTTTTTGTTAATAATATTTTTTTACCAATGATACTAATAATAATAATAAACTATTATAATGCTGGTTTGACTTGAACCCACAATCACAGCGTTTCATGGCGTTGCTATGTACATAGATCTTTGGGGGTTTGTGCTTTTATTTTTAACTTATCCCAAAATCAATATATGAATAATATGTGCCGAAAGTTTGCTTACAACCTTTTTGTTATTAAAAGAACACCGTTTCTACTTTCGTATGTTTAAACAGCTTATTTACTTTATCGGCATTGTTTTCTGGATAAATATGGAAGTAAATAAAAAGAATGTGCTTATAGAAATAGCAAATTCAAGCCATAAAATGTAGCTGTCATTATGGGCGAATGCAACACATCGCTCTATTACGTCAACAATAAATCAAATGCATTGAAGCCTTCTTCCTTCGTGACGAGGGGCTATCGCCGCAGTCACGGATATTTGGATCGATGTTCGGAACCTCAATTGCCTAACGGACCTCTAATAACCTTTAAATTCACGATCAAAGTGCCACTGCATTGGCTAATGCGTTTAATTTTCCTATCGGATTATATGGCTGATTTACAATTAAGATTTATATATATGTGAAGGTTTGAACATTTTATTATTATTCACAAGATAGCATTTATTTAGCTATAATATTTAAATATATTAAAAATGTAATAGGGCAAGGGCGGGATTTGAACCGGCCTCCAGCGTTTTTATTTTTATTTTATTTATATACTAGCTGTGCCCGCGACTTCGTCCTCGGAATAGTGACTTGGGGTAGAATTTTTAATTATTTAGGCAGTTTATTAATTTATGTAAGGGCGCATTTAAGGCAGCCAATCTATGTTGTAGGTGCTACTTTGCCGCAACACTCTCACCTCTACACTCACTCCCACTCTGACCCCCACTCCCACTTCCACTCCTATTCCCAAAAAGCCAAAGAAGAGATTTTCAATGTTCTAGCTTCCAAAACCACGAATTTCCATACAAATTCCCCTTTTCAACCCCTATCAACCCTTTTTTGGCATTAAGAAGTAGCATATGTCCTTTTTCAGACTCTAATACATCTGTGTACCAAATTTCATATTTAAATCAGTTCAGTAATTTCGGCGTCAAAGCCGGACAGACAGACAGAGTTACTTTCGCATTTATAATATTAGTATAGATAAACATGTTACATTCCATAGCACCTTTTTTATTTAATCAGCTTTACTAAAGGGTACATAGTTCTTACGAGCTCTAAGTCTTGCTCAGTCAAAATTATTTATTATCTTTCTCCGAGATTCAAGGTCAAGACTAATAAAAACGTAACTGTAAACTATTTGACGTCGCGTCGTGGTAAAAAAGATAAGTTGTAAAATAACAAAAATCAAGACATTATTTTACATTACAGAATAAAATTAATTAATTGTTGTGTACAGGTCTTAAGGAATTTAAAAAAAAAAGTTACGTCACACATCGTAAATTATGATCGAATATGCAGGCGGGTCTAACATACGACCGGCATATTTTACAGTTTTTCCAAAATAATTGAATAAGATGTGTGAAACGTTCAAATATTAATAAGTGAAATATTAACATTAATTTATGATATTTATTCTAGTGTTATAATTTGCAGTAATATTTCTCAGTGTTTTTATGAAATTACAGTGTCAGTACCAGAGTCTTCAGTGCATAGATACCAGTCTAAAGTTCATGTCCCTCTGAGAATGAAACTGGAGTAGTCTCTCCAGTTGGCTCACATTATTACATGTTAGGTGAGTCAGTACTTGTGCTCAAAGCTCTACAAATAACTTCTTATACGACCTTTTTGGGTCAAGACAAGCTTACGTATTTTGCTAACTTCATTTTGTTTTTAGAGGATTAACGATGTTACGACAATTAATTTGGTATTCAAAAATCTTATTACTAACTTACATATATTAGCATCAACTAAAACTCTACAGTAATCCGTACTTATCTATACTAATATTATAAAGCTTCAATACTGTTTAAAATTGAAATTATTAATTTGGATGAAGAATTTATAGAAGAAGGGTTTAAGCTATAAAACATCAGTTTACGACCAATAGTTTCTATTGGTAAAAACAAGGAAAAATGATGATTTAAAAAATCGAAAATAAGTTTTCAAAATGATGATTATTGAAGGTTACCTTTGCGTTGCCCTTGGAAAACGGTTCAAGATATCAAAAAATATTATATGTATAAAATAATTTTAACGTAACGGTAACGATAAACCGATTTATAGTAATAATTTGGTCGAAAACACTTCATATGGTAAAATAACGTTCGCCAGGTCAGCCAGTATAAAATAAATACAAAACTTTCTAATTTTAAATTGTGAGAGTTAGCCGAGAAAGAAACAAGTTTATCTCGTAATGTACTTATTTGCGTAACATTTCTCGCCGACTTTAAGTCGGTTGCTAGCAAATTGCATTTGGATTAAGGCCGCAGTTTACATTTGAAATTTTATGTCTGGTAATTATCGTCACCCCTGCCTTGCCAGCCTTCCTGATTGCAAAAGAATATGTAAAATACAAAAAACATTATGAAATAAATACAGGAAAAAATATTTTATGTCTACACTAATATTATTAAGCTGAAGTGTTTTGTTTGTTTGCACGAGCTAATCTCGTTAACTACTGGTTTGAAATGAAATATTATTTGTGTGTTGGTTAGAGCATTCAAAGAAGGCTTTAGGTCATCAACATCAACA